ATTCAGTTGTGAATCAATAATGTGATGTTTCCTCAAGATTATGTACCTTTCTAGATTTTCAGAACAATTCATTCTTTTAAAAACTGGTAGACCTTCACTGAATGATAGGTGAAGTATTATGTAAAACAAACCCATGAGAGCACGATGCCTGAACAGCATTACATGTACAGTACAGCCTTTCCTCACTTAATGACTGAGTTCCATTCCTAAGACCACATTGTTAAACAAATTTGTCGCTAAGAGAGGAGCATACTATAATGGTAATGAGTTTGTGTCATCCATCTTTGATATTGTTTTAATGTCACCTTTGCACCATTTATAACATTTCTGGTATATTTTTAAATGTTTATACAGTAGTACATATACTGTATATTGAAATAAAGAGAATAGAGAAAATCAGCTCTAATATACATTATTTAGGTATGAATACTGGTCAGAGAGCCCGTCGTAAGTCCAAGGCATCAGTAAATGAGTACATCGCTAAGCGAGGAGAGGCTGTCTTTTAATTGTATGTGCAGCCACAGGATGAGGTGTCAACCATGGTGCCCGTCTAAGTGTGTGACAGTGATATTGCATTTATCTCTGGTGAATTAACAAAATGGTGTTCATCTGAAGAATTTTGAGGTTCCTGAAACCTTCTGTGCTGTGGGTTATTCAGCAAAGGGGGAACAGAAAGAAGTGTCTTTTTGGCACATTCCTGTTACAAAAAATCAGGGAAAGTGCCTTGTAGCAATTAGTGGTGAAGTGCTTTAAGTAGTGGGTTGAGCTGGTGTCTTAAGTACTTGTTGCGTTCCTTGTTTTCCATGCCATGGCTTGGTTCATTCAATGAACAGGGCTTTTTAATGCAGGACATTACAAATTTCAGTCTTACAGTGACTTCAGCTGCAAATAGTGCTGCCCCTAAATGTGAGCATACGTCCCCAAGGCCAGGCATCCGTATACAGTGAGTACTCGAACGACACTCATCCTGGAGCCCCACCTTTGAATGTGTGAAGGTGTCAGTCTGGTGCAGAGAGTGGTTCAGCTGATGTATACAACTTATATAAGTTTGACTTACGAAATCATAACAACATGATTGCAAACAAATCACAGAAAGTTTATGTACTGGTCTATAGATTTTAGGACTCGCTTGCCATGGGTTCAAGCCAGACACATTCTATAATTTATATAAGTTTATATGAAATTTGTGACATTAAATATTTATTTGTTTTAGATTCATCATTCACTTGTTTGTACTGTAATATTATTGATGTGGCTAGCCTGTTTGTTTCATTAATACAGTACAGTCTCTCCTCACTTAACGACGTACTCGTTTAATGACCATTTGGACTTATGACCAGCTCTTTGACCAGTATGCATACCTAAGTACAGTGGAACCCCGAATATTTTCCGTAATCTGTTCCAGAAGGTTGGCCTAAATTCGAAGCAATATTTCCCATAAGAATTAATGTAAATACAATTAATCTGTTCCAGACACCCAAAAATATTAACAAAAAATACATTTTTTAAAGATTAATTATAGTTTTACATACACAAAACAGTGAGAACTAAAATAAATAAATGTACATTTAAATCACTGTTAAATACCTTTATTGAAGACTCTTGTTGGCTTATGGAAGACAGGGAGGAGAGAGGGAGGATTGATTATTGTTTGGAAGGGAAATCCCCCTCCATAAGGACCTCAGGTATCAAAGCTCTCTCTGGGGTTACTTCTCTCCCTGCCTGCTACACTCCCTGCATGCCTGCTACACTCCCTGCATGCCTGCTACACTCCTTGCCTCCCTTCCACACTCCCTGTTTCCCTGCTACACTCCCCAAGGTAGTATTCTGGGTCCCTTATTATTCTTATGTTATGTCAATGATATGCCTATCAGTGTCAAGTGCAAACTTCTACTGTATGCAGATGACAGTGCTCTGTTAGTGTCAGGTAAAGACCCACAAGATATTGCTAATGTTTTAACACTGGAACTGGAGTCCTGCAGCAAATGGTTAGTAGACAACAAACTATCATTACACCTTGGGAAAACTGAAGCCATTCTCTTTGGCACGAAACATAAACTGAGAAGGGTAAATAATTTTAATGTTCAATGTAATGGGGAGCCCATCACTTTGGTTTCATCAGTAAAATATTTGGGAATCCCCTTTGACCCATGCATGTCAGGAGAATTGATAGGGAACAGTGTAGTAAAGAAAGCGAATGCCAGACTGAAGTTCCTGTATAGACAAGCACAGAGTCTACCTACTGAGGCTCGCAGGACCCTATGTCTAGCCCTTATACAATGCCATATGGAGTACGCTTGCTCTTCTTGGTACTCTGCCTTGACAAAAAAAACTGAAAGATAGACTGCAAATCACCCAGAACAAAATCGTAAGATTCATCCTGGGGCTGGGACCAAGAGAACATGTAGGCCAGGATGAATTACAGCAGTTGGATATGCTGAATGTTGAAGACAGAGTAAAACAACTGAAGCTATATCATGTTTATAAAATTGCTCACAAACAATGTCCAGAATATCTTGCTGTCAATTTTGTCAAGGTTGGGAACCAAAGCAATCATAGTACTAGGGGGAGAGAGCACAACTTTGTAGTACCCACAGTCAGTGGCCAGGCTTCAAACACCTTTTATTGTACAGCAATAAAGGAATGGAACAGACTGCCCGCACATGTCAAGGCCAGTCATAGCATGAACCAGTTTAAGAAGAGTGCCAAAAGGCATCTGATGAATGTAGCTACAGAAAGGGAGGGGAATGATTTTCTATTTTTTAGCTAACATACGTGTAAATTTTACCTTATTCCTAGTAATGACCCTCGTATTGTAGATAATCTTAATGACCTTGGTGTAGTAGATAGTCTTTTTAGTATGATAATAAGATGTTATCTTCATTGTAGAATAATAAGAAAATATTATAAACCTTTATATTATAATAAGGTAAAAGGACCCCAATGGAAATAAGTCACTCTGTCTGACTTTTTTGGGTTATCCTAGGTTCTCTACACACATGCTGCTATGTATGATAATTCTATGTAACTGTATTTGTGTATACCTGAATAAACTTACTTACTTACCCTGCATGCCTGCTACACTCCCTGCCTGCCTGCTATGCTCCCTGCCTCTCTTCCACACTCCCTGTTTCTCTGCTACACTCCCTGTATGCCTGCTACTCTCCCTGCATGCCTGCTATGCTCCCTTCCTGCCTGCTACACTCCCTGCCTCTCTCCACATCTTCCATTGTTTGTGATCTCTTTTTCATTAACATGTTTACCCCTTTTGCCACATCAGCTTCCTTGATTTGTTCTTTCTTTGCCAGGATAGAAGTGATTGTTGACTTGTTTTTGCCATACATCCTGGAAAGCTGGAGCACACGCACTTAATAAACAAGCACAAAAACCAATGGATTTTAAGAAAATGTTTGGATGAATGTGTGGAGTATATGCTCATTCTCCGAGAGATACACAGAGACTGACTCACCTGCGCACGGTGTCCCGGCAGGAGGCAGGCTGATGCGTCTAATACAGCCAATTTGCGAGGCACCGGCTGAAATACTGAGCAAAATTTCAGCCCAAAAACCGGCCTAATTACGATTCGGCCGATAAACGCAGCAGCCAATATTTGGGGTTCCACTGTAATGTATATTAAAGCTAATTTCCTCTATTCTGTTTATCACAATATACAGTACACTACTGTATAAACATTTAAAAATATACTAAAAAATGTTATATGTGATGCAAAAGTGATATTAATATATAAAGGTGGTTGACACAAACCCTCTACTAGTATAGTATGCTCCTTGCTTAACAACCAATTCATTTACCGACCTGCTCTTAGGAACAGTACTCCGTCATTAAGGAGAGATTGTATAAATACAAATTAGATACTGTACATTCATAAACATGGAGATATTCAAAATACAGGTACCATCCGACTTACGACCAAGCTTGGTTCCAACCAACTGGTTGTAATAAAAATGGACGTAAGTCGAACCTTACTACTGAATATCAACATCACACTTTTGTAATGATTTTATTTTATTGTTGTATTTTGATATTTCATTTTTTCCTTTACTTTTTGTGCTGTTAGTACTGTATTTTATACTGTCAGGCTTAGGATAAACACTGTGTACAACACAAACAGTTGTTTATTTCCCAGAAATTTTGCATAAAAAACGTGGTTGTAAGTCGAGTGGTCGTATGTCGAGCAGGTCATAAGTCAGATGGTAGGTGTAACATGAATACAGTAATAAATACACATTTGAAGGTGTCACCATAGTAGTGGTGATGTACACATTTTTGGGCCTATACATGCCGTACTATGGCATTTTTCACCCAGCCAACTCGGGAACATTTAAAGCTTTCTGTGCCCTTGCAGGCCTTCTCTGCCAGTTTCAAGAGTATAGAGAGAGTGTGAAACACAGTGTCTGGATGACGTTCACCTTAAATTGCCACCCCATGCATAAACGTATAGTATTTCACAAATTTTTGTTCTGTCAGACACCTTGTGTAATTGGCAGCCAAAATGTAACTTGTGACTTGAACCCACACTTCACAGCTTTAGTACACCCAGTGGCTAGTGAATGAAAATTTCATGTTTGACCAGCAATGTGCTGCATACAGTTGATCAGATGGTGTGACTGCAAACTCTTTCTAGTGTTCAGGAGGCAATAGTTCATTAAATGTTACACAACTAATATTAATATGAAAATTCATAAGAAAAACTTGATGTGGTAAAAAAAATTGGAGGAATAAGTAATTTTTTAAAATATTGAATGGCAGATTTTCATGCTGATGCCAAACATAGCACTGTAAGAAAATCTCTGCCACTCAGTACAGTACAGTATTTCAAATTGGACTTTCTATTTTAGATTTTTTTTTAAGGTGTAGTAGTATATGATAGTAAAAAAAAGCAGGGGATAATGATGAATCACACTGATGCTTGTATATGGCTGTAACTTGTGCCTTTCTTATCCTCTCATTTATGGCTACATTTTTTTTTTTTATTTCAGCTTACCACACTACATATGGTTCTGATCCAGTGTGGAAAATCTACCGTCGGAACTTTAAGGGTGCCTTTCCTCCACGGAAAACCAGAAAGACCTGCATCGTAAGTGATTTTTTGGTGTAACTTTGCAGTACCAGCATTCATTATGTATTTGTTTATATATTTTCATTTTTCATCTTGTTAGGCATACAGTGGTACCTCGGGATACGAATTTATTTCGTTCCAGAAGGCTGTTCAAGTGCCGCTGCTGAACGAATTTGTTCCCATAAGGAATAATGTAAATTGGATTAATCCATTTCAGACCTCCCAAAAATACACTTACAAAAGCACTTACATAAATACACTTACATAGTTGTTCGAGTTTTGAGCTGTTTGTAACCCGAAGTACCACTGTATTTTACCACTTAACAAAAAAAAAAAAATGGTTGTGCAGTAAACCTTTGGAAATCATAACAATTGTACTGTATATGAAAACTTACTTTTAACACCTTAATAATGGAAAATATTTAAGACAATGCTATACAGCCTCTCCTCATTTAGCGATGCACTCGTTTACTGAAACCTCAGACTTATGACAGGCTCTCTGACCATTATTCATACCTAAATAATGTACAGTGGTATCCTGAGTTTCGTACAGTTCCCAACTCAAACAGTTATGTAAGTGTATTACTGTAGGTGCTTTTGTAAGTGTATTTTTGGGGGTCTGAAATGGACTAATCTAATTTATAGTATGTACAGTGGTGCCTTGGGATATGAACAGCTCAAAACTCAAACAGTTATGTAAGTGTTTTATGCAAGTGCTTTTGTAAGTGTATTTTTGGGGGTCTGAAACGGATTAATCTAATTTGCATTATTCCTTATGGGAGCAAATTCGTTCGGTATCGGCACTCAAACAGCCTTCTGGAACGAATTAAGTTAATATCCCAAGGTACCACTGTATGTATAATTATCAGAGTACACATAAAATATGCAATAACTTTAAAACGCTTGAAATTTTGGAAAGTTAAAAGACATAAGAGAGAGATGTGGTCACGGAGAATGTAAACAAACCGGGTGGGGTGCGCTGTATTAGAAAGACGGGGTGAGCCGTATAGCGAGTTTTGGTTATACGTAATTTGAAATCACTGTATTAGCAGAACGCCTTTGGGCGAAACGCCATAAAGTGGAGCCCTGCTGTACTTAACCCGTAAACGGTCCAAGCAGATCTACGTTTACGTGTAGTGCTACAAAAGTAGATCTACACTTTTTTTACATATTTTCAAATATAACAAAAAAAAAGTAGATCAAAGTTTTTTACACATTTTCAAATGTAAAAAAACAAAAAGAAGATCTACTTTTTTTACATACTTTCAAATGTTGAAAAAAACGTATACAGGTCTCCCTCAACATTCACGTTTTCAACTTTCACGGGCTTCACACATTCGCGAATTCCCAACCGCCAAATTCCCAACCACCAAATTCCCAGCCGCCAAATCATATTTAAGTTTCCCGCCACCTGCGAGTCCCTACTACCCTCCCTCTGACCCCCGCAACTGGCAGCCAGCCCTCCCACCACCCAGTGTGGTGAGTGTTTTGTTTGTTCATTATTTGCTATTAAACTACAGTATAAATAATGTAAACCCATTCATGACTGCATATTGGAATGGCTATTCGGACAGGTATTAGACGGTGACATCATGTGTTTACTCTTGAACACTGCAAAGAATTAAACATTTCTGCTACAGCTAATAATAACAATAGTAATAATAATAATAATAATAAATATGATATAATTGAAGAAGGAAATTGTACAAAAATATGAGGGAGTGGTTGACACATCGTCAGTGTGGCTTTGTTTATGCTGGAGTGAACATTAGTCTCCCTGCTCTTCCAAACATTTCACAATAATTCATTGTGTTTGGTGCTTGTAGATTGAGTGTGACTGGAGTGGTAGAGGCAGTGATTGAGGCAATGGCATTTAATAACATACATGTTAATAATAATACATGTTATTAATAATATGTACTATTATTATTTATAACATATATGTTATTAAATACATACATGTTAATAATAATACATGTTATTAATAATAACATGTACTATTATTATTTATAACATATATGTTATTAAATACCACTGCCTCAACTGCTGAATTACAGTACAGTGGACCCCCGGTTAACGATATTTTTTCATTCCAGAAGTATGTTCAGGTGCCAGTACTGACCGAATTTGTTCCCATAAGGAATATTGTGAAGTAGATTAGTCCATTTCAGACCCCCAAACATACACGTACAAACGCACTTACATAAATACACTTACATAATTGGTCGCATTGGGAGGTGATCGTTAAGCGGGGGTCCACTGTATTGTGAAATGTTTGGAAGAGCAGGGAGACTAATGTTCACTCCAGCATAAACAAAGTCACACTGACGATGTGTCAACCACTCCCTTGTATTTTTGTACAATTTCCTTCTTCAATTATATCGTATTTATTATTATTATTATTATTATTATTATTATTATTATTACTATTGTTATTATTAGCAATAGCAGAAATGTTCGATTCTTTGCTGTGTTCAAGAGTAAACACATGATGTCACCGTCTAATACCTTTCCTAATAGCCATTCCAATATGCAGTCATGAATGGGTTTACATTATTTATTCTGTAGCTTAATAGCAAATAATGAACAAACAAAACACTCACCACACTGAGTGGTGGGAGGGCTGGCTGCCAGTTGCGGGGGTCGGAGGGAGGGTAGTAGGGACTCACAGTGGTGGAGGCATTGGTGGAGGCAGTGGTGGAGTCTGTGGTATTTAATAACATACATGTTATTAAATAACATACGTTATTAAAGCATAACATGTATATATTTAGTACAATTTACGACGTTTTCATGTATTTTATGATTATTCATGGTTCAACAAGTTAAGGAAGCAGTATTGTAATGTATTTCCCTACAATATATTGGGGCACCAAACATTCACGGTTTTTCAACATTCGCGAGGCTCTTGATCCCCTAACCCTCGCGAATGTTGAGGGAGACCTGTATATACGTTTGGACCGTTTACGGGTTAAAAACTACGTAAGTCTAGACAGGATAAGAGTGGTTATCTTTTTAATTAATCATTATTTTATCTTAATACCAATGCGAGGTAGAGTTGGAGGTTTATAAGAAGAATAATCTTGAAGTTGCACATAATGAATAACAATACTACAAATAATGGCACAAACTACTATTTTAAGGATGAGTAGATGTTTTAATAGACTAGAAGTCATATAATACAGTGGACCCCCGCTTTACGATCAGCTCCCAATGCGACCAATTATGTAAGTGTATTTATGTAAGTGCGTTTGTACGTGTATGTTTGGGGGTCTGAAATGGGCTAATCTAATTCACAATATTCCTTATGGGAACAAATTCGTTCAGTAATGGCACCTGAACATACTTCTGGAATGAAATAATATCGTAAGGCGGGGGTCCACTGTATTTGGGAGAGTTACATCAAACTGGTTAGATTTTGTTTTCATTGGTTTGGTTAGTATTGAGAGATGAGGTGATTTTTAAGAATAGTCCTAAATTCATATGCAATCGGGATCTTTTACTGATTCAGGTAGTGAATTCCAGATCTTTGGGCAGGGTATAGATGACAGTGTGAACATGTTATCAGGCTTTAATATGTAATTTGAAAGTGAAAAAAGGCTTTCACTTTCACTGGCAGTAGCCCAGAATCTAACCTGCTTTATGAGGAGGACCCTCCTGTACATATAAGTGAAATGAGATATTTTTGCTTGCTTTTAACTGCAGTAGTTTTGCAGTTTTGCTTCATCCCCTTGTATCCATATTCACAATATACGTATTCCTTTTACACCTTTGTGTATTGTACTAAACTTTGTGTTTAGGTTTGTGCCAAGTTTCTGATGGGATCTGTAACAGAGATAGGGAAGAACATTTAATACTGTACACTCATACATATTTTTAACCTTTTTGCTGTTGGTCTCGTAATATTATGGCTTTGAAGCCAGTGTTGGTTCCTTAATGCTATGCCAAAATTCTGTTGGCTTCCAGTCTTGCTGGAGATAACTGGTAGGCATACATATGAGAGAATGGGTCTGCATGATCAGTGTGCGCAGTATAAAAAATCCTGCAGCACACAGTGCATAATGAGGAAAAAACTGTGGTCGTGTTTTTGGTTTAAAACAGCGAATTTGTGGCATATATTTATACTCTACATAGGTAGTAGGTTGGTAGACAGCAACCGCCCAGGGAGGTACTACCGTCCTGCCAAGTGAGTGTAAAACGAAAGCCTGTAATTGTTTTACATGATGGTAGGATTGCTGGTGTCCTTTTTTCCTGTCTCATGAACATGCAAGATTTCAGGTATGTCTTGCTACTTCTACTTACACTTAGGTCACACTACACATACATGTACAAGCACATATATACACACCCCTCTGGGTTTTCTTCTATTTTCTTTCTAGTTCTTATTCTTGTTTATTTTCTCTTATCTCCATGGGGAAGTGGAACAGAATTCTTCCTCCGTAAGCCATGCGTGTTGTAAGAGGCGACTAAAATGCTGGGAGCAAGGGGCTAGTAACCTCTTCTCCTGTATATATTACTAAATGTAAAAGGAGAAACTTTCGTTTTTCCTTTTGGGCCAACCCGCCTCGGTGGGATACGGCCGGTGTGTTGAAAGAAAGAAAGATTTATACTCTATGGTATTTATGGTTGTATTCTCATTTTCTTGGTCTCATTTGATGGAAGGGAAGATATATTACAGAATTAGAGATGATTTTTAATGGTTTAAAGACTAAACGTATAATACTTTGAAATTGAGCTCAAAGTAGTGGAAATGTTCGATTTTTGCCAATGTTCAAGAGTAAACAGATCACATCACACGTCCAATACATGTCAACTGGTGGGTCTAATATGCTTTCCCAAATGCACTGATATTATTTATACTATTTTTATAATAATGCAGTAGTCTACATAACAGTAAATCTTCTATTTTTTGTGTGAATAAAAATTCAAAATGGAAAGCAAGTGTATTATAAGAGGGGCCTTGAGACATGACTAATGAACAGAGAAAATGTTATTTTAGTGCCAGGAATGTCTGCATTGTTTATTCTGGACCCTGTTTTGAAATTGACCTTTCTTGAATTTTGTATGAAATTGGCCAAATTACCAATATCTTATCACTTCATTGGGTAGTTTAACCCTTTGACTGTTGCAGCCCCAAATCCTGAAGTGTCTCCTGGTGTCGAAGAATTTTCAAAAAAAAATATTTTTTTTTTTCTTATGAAAATGTTAAGATTAATTTTCTGATTGTTTTAAGCCCCAAAAAAAACTTTTTTGTGATCAGTACTTACCAAGATATAGAGGCGTAAAGTTGGCAGAAAATGAGCCGTGTTTGGCAACAGCAGCGAATGCCGCTCACCCGGTAAACTTTGGTTTACTTGTATTCCAAGGTTTCTTGTTTTTTTCACTATTTTATTTTTTCAGGTAACTTATGTGGCCTGTGAGTCCAAAGTAAGGTGCAATGTACATTTATACACGCATTGTATACAACACAATAAGCGCACAAACATAATTATCAATGTATTACTTACAAAACTTGTTTACACAAACAATACAAAAAATTGTTTATTACTATTGTTTTATAATATATATACAAATGTATAGTCACTGGACATGTTCCTAGAAGTTCTGCAGCTTGTGGAATTCTTTGAAACATGGTTTCATACACAGTTGTGTTTTACACTCCTCACACATAAAACGAGTGTGTCTGCATTTTTGTGGGCGTTTTTTTTTTTTTTTTTTATGTGCAATGACAAAACTCCTCGTCTGAGAAGTTTTCTTCAAAGTATTAGCATGGAGTTTTGTTAGGTAGTTATTCTAGGCAATTTTTTTTTATTTTTTTTTATTATCACACTGGCCAATTCCCACCAAGGCAGGGTGGCCCGAAAAAGAAAAACTTTCACCATCATTCACTCCATCACTGTCTTGCCAGAAGGGTGCTTTACACTACAGTTTTTAAACTGCAACATTAACACCCCTCCTTCAGAGTGCAGGCGCTGTACTTCCCATCTCCAGGACTCAAGTCCGGCCTGCCGGTTTCCCTGAACCCCTTCATAAATGTTACTTTGCTCACACTCCAACAGCATGTCAAGTATTAATTCTAGGCAAATAGTCATGTATCATCATTCCTTCCTACCTTCCTGCATTCCTTTCCTACCTTCCTTCCTACATTCCTTCCCTCCTTCCTTACTTTTTTCCTTCCTTTCTTCCTGACTTCCTTTTTTCCTTCTTTCTGGTTTCTATGATATATATACACATATATAGTCACTGGATACTTTCATATAACTGCTATTATCTTCAAGCTTGTGTTGTGTGTGAGTGTGTGGACTTCTAATTGTTCTGAGTCAGGGTCAGTAACTGTCAAAATGACATATTGTCTCATTACTCACTCTCCCTACTGCCTGTTAAAACAATGGGGTCGGATGCTGCTTCCCCTCCATCCTACTATCTAATTATCTTTCTCTCTCATTCTCCTTCATTCTTCATTCTCCTTCATTCTTCTGGCATCCTGGGCATTGCTTTTGGTCACAAACTCCTCAAAACCATGAAATTTATCTTCACTGACACTTCCATCTGTGTTAGAGCATCACTTGGGAAGAGTAGAGTCCCAGATTTGCCGGGGAGTCACATATTTCTTACCGCTAGGCGTGCTGAACAAGGACTACTGAAATGGCATTCCCACAATGCACCACTGGCTCCCCGATTTTTTTTATGTGGTGCACACTGACCATGGAGACCCATTCTCTCACATGTGGGCCTACCAGCTTTCTCCTGCTTGATTTGAAGCCCCTAGAATTCATGGGTATTAATATGTCAAATGTGGTGGCTAGTAAGACATATATATACAACCGAAACAGTCAAAGGGTTAAATAGGTAAATGGGCGGTTTCTTGTACTCAGTCAATAGAACAAAAGGAATTCTAGCAAAATAGCTGTAAATATAGTCGATTGAAAATAGGGCAAAATTAACGATTTGTAAATATCACTGTGACTGCTAACTTCGTGAGAGCGTAATTCCGTAAGTTTTGGTCTGAATTTCGTACTTTTGGTTTCATTACCATTAGGAATATATTCTCTATCATTTCATAAGAATTTTTTTTTTTTTAATTCTTTGACACTGAGAGCAAGTTTGTGAGCAGGGGTTGCAACAGTGAAAGGGTTAATAAATGTTATGTACAGTGCCATAACTTTGTTTTTTCCTACAATAAGATGTCACAACTGAGTTAACATTTTCCAGCGTGCAAAGATGATCACCACTGGTAATCCATGCCCAATTTGTCGAGATGAATACCTTGTCTTGGACTACCGCAATGTTGATTTGTTAAAACAGTTTATCTCTGAACACAACGGAGCAATCTTATCTTATTCGTAAGTATTGAAGTGGTTTTTTATTCTGCTTTTATTGCTGTGATTGAGCAAATTTTCTTTCCTTTGTCTTTTGTCTTCATTGCCACATCTGTATTTTATTCTGTATTGTGTTCATTAACTGTAAATTTCTGAGATGTATTTAGTTGCAGATTTAATATTTGTGCAACTATTATTGCTCATTGTTTTACACTATCGAATTTATAGACTAAGAGCAGTTATCCTGTCTCAGCTTATTTCAAAAGCCCAGCCTTCTCTAAGGTATACTACCTGCCTCCTTTCTGCATTCTCAACATACCTCTCTAGTTTAGTTGATTAACACGTTGGTACATATTTACTGCTAGGTGAACTGGCAGCAGGTTTGACCATACACATTGCCTTTCACCTGTGAATCAAACTCAAGTTGAGGAATATGTAGAGGATGTGCAAAAGAATGAATCTGAAAGCAAATAAGGAAAAAGGGGAACGCAATAAGAATTTGTAAAAGTACATTGCATTAAGGATTAGTGTGTGGAAGATATTCGTGTATCTAGATACTATATAAGAAGAGAATACTGTATAAGTAGGGGTTCTATGAAGGGTGAGTTAAATTGTGAAATAATGGAAGCAGAATGTTGCTTGAGTGTTGAGAAAGTTGGGAAAAAAGAAGTTTGCCACCAGATGTAAAAATTTATCATTATTATTAACTGTGGTTTTGTGTGATTGTGAAGGATGATGGTCTCTGAATGCTACAGTACATTTTTTTTTTTTTTCAACAAATTGGCCGTTTCCCACTGAGGCAGGGTGACCCAAAAAGAAAAACGAAAGTTTCTCTTTTTAAATTTAGTAATTTATACAGGAGAAGGGGTTACTAGCCCCTTGCTCCTGGCATTTTAGTCGCCTCTTACAACACGTATAGCTTACAGAGGAAGAATTCTGTTCCACTTCCCCATGGAGATAAGAGGAAATAAACAAGAACAAGAACTAGTAAGAAAATAGAAGAAAACCCAGAGGGTGTGTATATATATGCTTGTACATGTATGTGTAGTGTGACCTAAGTGTAAGTAGAAGTAGCAAGACATACCTGAAATCTTGCATGTGTATGAGACAGAAAAAAAAGACACCAGCAATCCTACCATTGTGCAAAACAATTACAGGCTTCTGTTTTACACTCGCTTGGCAGGACAGTAGTACCTCCCTGCGCGGTTGCTGTCTACCAACCTACTACCTAGGGCTACAGTACATATAATGTTGAAATCAATGTGGTGCAAATATTGTGTAGAGAACAGGGAATGAAGAAATGGAATAATTTTAAGGTGTTCAGTCTCTTAACCTTGAATGTAGGTGGTCAGTCTCTTATCCTAAAGCATAAGCAGATGACAGAGACTAAATACTGGAGCTAGAAATGAGATGTAGCAGCTGGAGATCATTTCACCGGTAGGCAGGGCTCGCTAGTGGAAAGTTGGTTATGTCAAACAGTTGTTTAGCAGTGAAGTTTTGCAGAAACCAAACCCCCTGTACCAAGATACCATAGTTTTGTTGTGTCAGACAAGTACAGTGGAACCTCTACTTGCGAGTTTAATCAGTTCCATGACCTTGCTCGCAACTGGATTTGCTCGTTTGCAGAGTCAATTTTCCTCATTTAAGTTAATTGAAATGCAATTAATCCGTTCCAGTGGAATTCTGTACTTCAATAATTTCACTAATATCAACTCTATGGCTTATTTATCAATCTCACTTCATCTAATATGACATACTAAACAATATAAATAACATAGAAACCTGATATATACTCTAAAATGAATAAAATATGTCATTCACGTGGTGGTATGGGCGGTGTCGGCGGCAGACGAGAGTTTGTTTGGAGACTGGGCAAAATACTTCATGAATAATTTCGCTAGTATCATCTATATGGCTTATTTATCTATCACAGTTCATCTGATATGACATAACAAACAATATAAATATCATAGAAACATGATATATACTCTAGAATGAATAAAATATGTCATTATGTAACAGGTGGAGGCAGCCACAACCACTCCTACTTATTATTATTATTATTATTATTATTATTATTATTATATAAATAATTTGTAATTTTTATTCACACAAAAAATATAAGATTTACTGTTATTCCTTATTGCAATAATTGTATAAATAACGTCAACCCATTCATGACTGCATATTGGAATGGACAGTGACGTCATTTGTTTACTCTGAAACATAGCCAACCAATGGACCATTTCTCCTATGTTGAGCTCAATTTCAAGGTACTTTTCGTCATGAGAGCAATCAAAATCATATCTATTTCTGTAATATATCTTCCATTCTATCAAATGAGGCCAAAAAAACGAGAATACAACCACTCGAAATTACCACTAAGGGGTGGCTAATTGCTGAGAAGTGAACTCCATTATTTATGCTTAGATTTCTTTCATTTTTCGTGTACATTAAGAAGCATCTTTCCATCATTCATTGCCCAAGTTTCAGTAAGATAATCCAACAAACAAATGAGATACGATTCCCGAGATCAAGAGCAAGAGCCCCTCACCAGTGTCAAGGAACCGCCTTGAGGTCTGCTCACTTATGGAAATTTTGCTTGCGTATGGAAGCAAAAAATCGACCCATCGACTGCTCGTATTTGGAAAAACTCGCACGTGGACATGCTCACAAGTAGAGGTTCCACTGTATCATGTTTATGGTGCACTATATCATCAAGTTAATTAGCATGACACTTATGCAACACTTAGATATCTATATGGTTACCCAAGTGTTGCATATGTATCTAATTCATCTGCTTTCATTCACATTCATTTTCATTAATGTTTGCTTGGGCACTAAAGTCACACTATCCAATGTTCTTACCTTGACCTCTCTTATAATTACGTTCACATGGTATTAAGTGTATGGCCATGGGGACATTGCTACTACTACTACTACTACTACTGTACACATTTATCAAAATAATCACTTTATTACACCATTAACTATTATGCAGGCACTAGTTCCTGCATAAAAATATTCTCATTAAACTTACACAGTACTGTATAGTCTTAATGATTAGATGGATGCTCATGTGTTTGCAGGACAAATTAAGAATAATGGGCTGTATATTTCATGAAAAGCTTTCTTGTCTTACAGAATGACAAACATCTGTCAAAGACGTCATAAGGAGCTCCAAGTGGCTGTACTCAAGGCTCGTGACTACGGTCTCCTAACTTATGATGTTCCTTTCCGTGAATATGAATATTCTGAGTACTATACACCCAGTAAAAATGATAACAAACTAACCACTTAAGAATAGCCTCAATGTTGTTTAATCATATATTGTTTGTCTTAATTTGTAAAATACCTGTTGAAATAGATACTTTAAAGGCTGACAACAATCAGGTTAACTTTTGAAACATATGCACCTAACCCATTTAACCAGTATATTTTATCTTTGTTACAGATTCCTACATATTATTAAATTTTTGATTTGCTTAATTTCATATTTTTTAGTGTAGATTGCAATATATAAATGTGTATTAAAATGAGTGTCTAAATTAGTTGAATAGATCAGTATTGTATATATTGCACTTGAGAAACTGGCATGTAAAAAAGAAAATAGCAGCCAGTATATGTTTTGAGTTTTGAGAAACCATCACAGCCTGTCATCAGTGTACCAGTTTGACCAAGTTTACTGCATTTGTCACTCAGGTAGATGATTCATTGGCTTTTATTTTGCTGATATAAATATTGATTCAAGTTTAAATTGTAAACTCTCTTGATGCTCTTCATTCAATAAAAGTATGTTTCAAAAGATAAAAATTTAGCTCTAACCTGATTAATAAATAGTGTAGTTACTTCAACATGAAGATGTAATTAAAAATAATACATACTTTTAGTAATATTGTTGTGCATAATAATAATTTTGTTAAACTGTATGTATAAATAAAGTACCAAACTGCTTGAAATTATATTTTATTTTACCTCCTATAATGAAAGCTGCTTGTAATTTAAATTAAATTTTGCCATAGACTCAGAAATCTGAAATTTTATTATCTCTCTACATAAGATAAAATGTTATCCACTCAGAAGTACAGTGCCTGCACTCAAAGGAGGAGTTTGGGATATTTGCTGTTGAGAGGGACATCTAAATTTTTGTATCTGTGCACCTCTGGCAAGACAGTGACAGTAAATGATGGTGAAAGTGTTTCTTACATTGTATTTGAACAATTTAGTGCTCTTGTTTTTTTTTTATTAACACATCGTCCATTTCCCCTCATTATTATTATAATCAAGGGGGAAGCGCTAAACCCAGAGGATTATACAGCGCCTGGGGGGGATATGGAAGGCATTCAGGCTTAATTCGGGGAACTGGAGCACAGATCCAATTCCCTAAATCAAGAGCCCCTCACCAACATCAAGGAACCTTCCTTGAGGGGCATTTCCCCTCAAGGAAAGTTCTTTGAAGTCCATGGGTAGCTTTTGATCCAAGGAATTAAACCTGTGCACCCCTTGGATTAAACCTGAATGCTTCCCATTCTCCAGGCACTGTATAAACCCTGTGTGTTTAGGTCTTCTCCATGAATGTAGTAATTATTTATGGTTATTATACAACACATCACTGTTAGACAAATGAGTGGTGAGCTGAACCTGACTAGCTTGTGCTAATAGGTCTGATACATTGTTCCTTCTTTCCAATAGGTGACTTGGACCTGCCTAGTATGGGCCAGTAGGCCTGCTGCAGTGCTTCTTTATTATGTTCATATGACCCTTGTGGGTTTAGTGTTGATTGTAATAAAAATAATATACAATACCTCTAATACTGTATAGACACAAATGTGGCATGGAGCTATTCATGGAGTCAAGAGGCTGGTCCTTTCAGCATCATTATGCAGCACTATAAGACTTAAGGGTTTAGTACTTTATGATTATTATAATAATCAGCACCATTATACCTATCATCCCCTCAAGGAAGGTTCCTTGACATTGGTGAGGGGGGTCTTGATCTAGGGAATTGGATCTGAGCTCCAGTTCCCTGAATTAAGCCTGAATACTTAACCCCATCCCCCACAGGCACTACATACTCCTCTGGGTTTAGTGCTCCTCCTTGATTATAATAATAATAATAATATGCCTATCATCCTTCAAGACAGGTAGTGCTACTTTGTTCCTGGTGAAAGGCTCCTAACTCAAGGAACTAGAGCTACCTTTTCCTTCGTCAACCTGATTACCCCACTTTTGTTCCAACAGCCATTGTATGACCCAAACAGGTCTAACACTTTCCACTTGAACACAAAAGTAATAATTATAATATATCTGATACTGCAATCTGGTTACAGTATGTCAATGGCATTTTAATATTTAACCAGATGTTTCATCTTAAATGCATGTATCAGAGGGACTAGTACCGAACTTGCACACGAAAATCACTCGCAACGAAAGCAAAAGACTTGGCAGACGATGCAACATCCCCCCAATGAAAAGCAGGGGTGTCACTAATACGTTAAGAGACCATACAATAAGTGTCAGGGGCCCGAGACTGTTCAACTGCCTCCCAGCATACATAAGGGGGATTACCAATAGACCCCTGGCAGTCTTCAAGCTGGCACTGGACAAGCACCTAAAGTCGGTACCTGACCAGCCGGGCTGTGGCTCGTAGGTTGGTTTGCGTGCAGCCAGCAGTAACAGCCTGGTTGATCAGGCTGTGATCCACCAGGAGGCCTGGTCACAGACCAGGCCGCGGGGGTGTTGACCGCCGGAACTCTCTCCAGGTAAACAAACTCACCTTTGATGTTCATAGGAAAGTGATACTGTATATAAAAGTTTGATAGATTTATTATGCATCCTGTTTCTGTAGTCAAAAGATTGCAGAGGTACATAATAGGTCCAGGGACCAGGCTCCATTATTTTTAAATTAGCAAGTTAAAATAGCAATAAACTGTTTAAAATAATTATGTAAACAATTAAGAAATTCAATCACATGAGTATTACAATAAAGATATTCAGTATGTTAGAAAAATTAATATCCAAAGGGCGACCATACAGAATTTGCCTTCGACACTGTCACCGCTCTAACACCCTTACTTCATCCGACCTCACCAACAGCCCCACCTTCAACACAAGACTCCCTCTTTGACTTTTTGCCAGCAACAGCTTTATTACACCAACTTCAATTGTATTTTCCCTTTAGCACTCCTCACAACCCTTACTGACCCTGCCTCTTGCATACTACTTACCCACGCTGCTCTCTGATCTTCGCATATTACATATTCAGCATGTTCTGCCCTGCAACGCTGTATGACCTTCGTGAATTTAGTGCTTAGTTTTGACTGTAATAATATTAATTATCCAAGGGACTACATGAGACCTTATATTTTTCCAGTGTCAAGGATAAAAAAGGATAAAAGAATTCATTATTCTTAGGATTTGCAGCCTTCATTTTCTTGATTATGTTAATATCATGGATTCTTTTACCAGCTTCATACTCTTATTTCAATCAAAACACTATGCTGTATGACCCTTGTCGGTTTAGTGCTTCTTTATTATAATACTACAATCGAAACTGAGTGCTAAACCCACATGGGTCATACAGTCCTGCAAGGTCAGATGTGCTAAAGATGAAATATGCAAAGGTCAGAGAGCAGTGAGGGTGAGTATACCAGAGGCAGAGTCAGTAAGGTTAGTGAGGAGCACTAAAGGGAAAATATCAAGTTGGTGTAACAAAGCAGTTGATGACAAAAAATCAAAGGAGTCTATGTCAAAGGTGGAGCTTTTCATCAGCTTATAATTTCCCATATATCATTCAATGATTATAAAGAAAGCTATGATTATCAGCTGAGTTACGAAAAAAGTGCTAACCAGGAGAGCCATGAGAATCAGTGGGGAAAAAAGTGAAAGATAAATTTATTTATTTATTTATTTATTTATTTATTAATTTGAACATGATACAGAGAAGTACAAGGAACACAATTTTTAAAGTGCAGCATGCCAAAGCCCCTTGTATGCAGAGCATTATGGGCAGGCTTAAAATTAACTTAAGATTAACTAAGCAATGATATATTCAGTGGTACAAAAATTATTGTAAAACAGATAACAATTTAGTACAAATGAGTATTACAAAGACAGGTCATATGGTCATTTACTGTGTTGCTGTGTAATCAGTAGAATGGAGTATTCTGTTAGGTAATGAAGTTAAATAGTAACAAAGTTTGATTGGGTCACAGGTTGACATTTATGAGATACAATAATGAGATACATATATGAGATACAATTTATGAGATACAATTATTCAGTATTGTATTTAGTTGTGGGTAAGTGATTTTTTGAGAAGAGACTTGAATTTATAAACGGACAGTGTTTCTTTTATATTCACAGGTAATGAATTCCAGATTTTAGGGCCTTTTATGTGCATTGAGTTTTTGCATAACATGAGATGGACACGAGGAACATCAAAGAGTGATCTGTGCCTTGTGTTATGGTCATGTGTTCTGTTCAGGTTGGTAAGGAGATGTTTGAGGGGAGAGTTTATGTCAGAGTTAAGTGTTCTATGTATGTAGTAGGTGCAGTAATAAGTATGGATGTTTTGTATTGTGAGTAGGTTTAGAGTTCTGAATATTGGTGGAGTGTGTTGTCTGTAGTGGGAATTTGTTATCATTCTGACTGCAGCCTTTTGCTGGATGATTAGTGGTCTGAGATGGTTTATTGTTGTTGAGCCCCATGCACAAATTCCATAGGTGAGATAGGGGTAAATAAGTGAGTGATATAGGGCAGGAGGGCTGACTGTGGAACATAGTACCGTATCTTCGATAGTATGCCTACGGTCTTGGAAATTTTTTTGGAAATTTGTTGTATATGTGTTTGAAATTTGAGTCTATTATCAAGGTGGATTCCTAAGAATTTTCCCTCTGAGTTTTGTGATAGGTGATCCATTTATCATTATGTTAAGAGACACATCTGTAGCTCTGTTACCAAACTGAATGTAATAGGTTTTGTCAATGTTTAGAGTAAGTTTGTTGGTCCTCATCCAGGTTGATATTTTATGTAATTCGGTATTTACAGTATTGGCTAGCATGACTGGGCTCGGGTGAGAGTAGACGTATGTAGTGTCATCTGCAAATAGTGTGGGTTTGAGTAGTTGCGATGCATTTGGTAGTTCATTTATGTATATGAGAAAGAGAAGAGGGCCTAGGACACTTCCCTGTGGGACACCAACTGTAATTGGCTGTGCAGAAGAGTTTGCCCCATTTGTGTACACATATTGGCTTTGTTGCTGAGGTATACCCCTCAAGGAAGGTTCCTTGATGTTGGTGAGGGGCTCTTGATTTAGGGAATTGGATCTGTGCTCCAGTTCCCCGAATTAAGCCTGAATGCCTTCCACATCCCCCCCCCCCCCCAGGCACTGTATAATCCTCCGGGTTTAGCGCTTTCCCCTTGATTATAATAATAATAATGCTGAGGTATGACTTTAGGTAGTTGAGGGAGTGCACTCTTATACCATAGCGCGACAATTTTATGTAGAGCAAGTCATGGTCAACTGTATCGAAAGCTTTACGTAAGTCAATGAAGATCCCCAGTGGGACTTCTTTTTTCTCTATTGTTGTATAAATATGTTCTAGCATGTGGATAATAGCATCATTAGTATTTTTATTAGGCCTGAACCCAAATTGACAGGGATTGAGTATGTTGTGGGAGATGAGGTAGGAATAGATACGCTTATGGATTAATTTTTCAAAGATTTTAGAGAGAGGGTGTAAGTTGGATATTGGCCTATAGTTATTCAACTCTGTGTGGTCTCCTCCTTTATGGATCGGGGTGACCCTTGCTATTTTAAGAACTGTAGGAAAGGTAGAGGATTCAATGGATTTGTTAAAGAGTGTTGCAATGATTGGTGACAGCACCTGTGACACTTTTTTGTATATAATGGGTGGTCAGGTATTTAAATCTCCTGTCTTGTTTTTAGTTTGTTGAT